GTTTGGCCTAGCCCCCTTGCCTTGGCGGCCACATGGGACGTAGAGGCTCCCCGTAGCTAAAGATCAGGGTTTGGGGGTTTGGGGTTTGGGGTTGAGGGGTTTAGGGGTTTAGGGGTTTAGGGGCTTAAGGGGTTCAGGGGTTTAGGGGTTAGGGCTTCAGGGGTTTAGGTGTTCAGGGTTTAGGGGTTTAGGCTTTTTAGGGTTTAGGGGATTAGGGGTTTAGGGTTTAGGGTTTAGGGGTTAGGGGTTTTGGGGGTTTAGGGTTTCGGGGTTTAGGGGTTGAGGGGTTTAGGGGTTAAGGGGTTTAGGGGTTTCGGGTTTAGGGGATTAGGGGTTTAGGGGACAGTAACAGAAACACCCCGACACCCAACTACTAGAGCCGTAAAGCTAAGCTTCTTTACCCCAAGGCCGTGTCTTGGCTGTGACCGTGTCTTTGCCGTTGAGCATCAACTATAAACCCTGAAACCCAATGCTGCCCGGAGACCTAACCAACTCTTAACCAAGCAATCGACCGTACGTCATAGACAGATCCTGGACATGATTTATAGTGTATATATATATATATACTGGGTGTTGTAGCCTCTAGGCAGTCAGCCCAGACCCGAATCTTCAAAAAGATGGTCTCAGATTTCTCTGACCCCTTCCCCCAAAATTCCGTGTACCTGTTGCTATCATGGGCTAGCGGCTAGAGCGTAGTATCACGGTAGAGACGGTGTCATGGGGCTTGCAACAGGAGTTTTGCAGGTCCTGTAATACCTACCGAGTAACTGATACAGGGGCCTTGATCACAAGAACAGAGCTTTGGGGATAGTTATGACAGCAACCACAAGGAATAGTATTGGGACTTATCCAGGCTTCTATACTATGTCTTGAGGTTCGAGTATATTCTATGTAGGCGCATGGACCAACAAGGCTGTCTCCTGAACCGCAACTAACTTCTTCAAGGGCTAAGGGTTTAGGGCTTGGGTTTAGATTAAAAAATCCTTTGAGCCATTGAGGGCTTATTCGGGTTTAGTTTTGGGCTATACACCTGCTTGACAGGTATCTCCTTGCACATTCGTATAAAGTGAGTGAGGTCGAGTTTGCTTCCGAGTCGAGAAGTTCGTCGAGCCAGTCCATCGTTGGAGGAGCACTCGTCTAGCTGAACCACAGAATCCACTTGGAAAGATACAGTTTACCTTGAAGCCCAGTACCCTGGCCCAAAAAAGTTTAAACTTTTCTTTTTAGTAGGGGTTTAATATACCAAAAAGTTTAAAGTTTACCTACTGGGCTCCTAAGTTTAAAAGTACATCGAAACGTGATGCGCCAGATGTGGACGCAGGATTGCCGCGAATGCGGCATCGGCTGCCTGAACGGCCCAAACCCTCTGAAGAGTCACAGCGCTACTGTCGCCACCAGCTTGTTCTGCTGACTAATATGGCCTCGTGAGACCGGTGGTGTCGAGGCAGGTATGGATTCGAACCCGAAGTATGCAATAGTTCTCTGTCACCTAAACCCTGAACCCTAACCCTAAACCTTAAACCCTAAGCCCTAAACCTAAAACCCTAAATCCTAAACCTTAAACCCTAAACCCTAAACAGGCACTAATGTACGGTACCCTGGTCGGATGTTTGGCTGCGGCTGGGGTTTGGTGTGAGGGTTTTGGCTCGGTAGACTCGCAACCGGTTTCCTTTACAGTGAAAGGTACAAAAATTAGAAAAAGGTTTTGGGGGATATGGTACTATAACTATAATAAGGAACCCCCCAACATAATACAGGTAATTATTCGGGCCACCGTAGTACCATAGGGATTAGGGATTGGGGTTTGTTGGGGTCTAGTGTTACAGGGCTGTGGTCTAAGGGTGCCGCGGAGCCAACGATGCAGAACCCTAAATCCGAAAACCTAAACCGTCTAGGGTTTAGGGTTAAGGGTGTAGGGGCCCTTAACACAAGAGGGCATAAGGTTTTAGGGTTCAGGGCTTTGGGTTTACGGTTTCGGGCTTTGGGGTTTTAGGGTTTAGGGTTTAGGCCCTAAACCCTAAACCCGAAACACTAAACCCTAAACCCTTTAGGAGTCCTTAACACAAGAACAAGCATGTCCAGCCCGGAACAATTCTGAGAACCTCTCAGACCTTCTCAACCTCTAACCTAAGCCCTGAACTCACAAACAACACTTAAATCCTAAACCCTAAACTGGATTATTTAATCAAGGGTACCATAATAAAGAAACCTTATTATTTACTATAGATCCCTATTATGGTCCCTTAAGATAAATCCCTTAACAGAACCCTAAGCCCTAAACCCTAAAGGAACAAGACCCCAGCTAAAGCCAAGACCCTAAACCCTAAAACCCTAAAACCCTAAGCCCTAAAACCCTAAACCCTAAACCCTAAAACCCTAAAACCAGCTAAAGCCAAGCGGCTGGAAGTCCAGCATGGGGTCGGAGCTCTGACCAAAGACTTTATCTGGAGTCAGAGTGTCCGTGTTCTTGGACCTTGCTGCGCGCTTCAGTCAACTATGAAGTTTGGGGTTTATGCTTGGGTTTAGGGTTTAGCGTTTAGGGCTTAGGGTTGGTTATGAAACGGCGATAGGGCAACTTAAGTCCTTATAGAGCGGTTTTGCAAGTTCCTGTTAGAGTGTACTTGTGGATGAAATTGTATGGGGGTTTCCGAAAATGGGGGACCCTAATATAGTACCCTAAATAGTAGGATCCTTATTATAAGGACCCCCAAATAAGGTACCCTTGGTTTCGGAAACTCCCATATCCTACTGCCTCAGCGGACCCCTGGGGCCATAACCTACTCTTCAGCGGGGGTTTGGCTATATCAGACTTCTGGAAGGGACCCTAAACCCTAAACCCTAAACCCAGAGCCACGGTTTAGGGTTTAGGGTTTCTAGAGGGTTTACGCTGCGATCTTGGGTGTAGGGTGTGGCAGGTAGAGGTTTCAGGTTTACGGTGAAGTTTGAGGTTTTGGGATGTAAGGCCGTGGGGCCATAACACACCTGACTATAGTTCCAATCGGCTGCGAATCCAAGTAAAGGATATGTAGGGTACGCTGGAAGGTCTCGTTACTACTTACTATAGGTCCCTATTTAAGCAAAAACGGTTTGTTTGAGATCCGGGTTTAAGAGTTCGGGGTAGGGTGCTCAGGGATATGGCATCCTTTTGGGATTCGGGGCGGGATTTAGGGATTCGCGTTCGGATTTAGAGTTTAGGGTTTCAAGACAGAGAGCGGCAAGCACCCTACCCTGATCGCTCAAATTAGACATCCTTAGTCCTAGATCACGAAGTAGCTGCGGTGTCATCACACCCTAAGCCCCAAACCTTACACCAAAAAACCCAGCTAGAGTTAGACCAAATATCTTTGCGACATGGGACCCTTTGACTAGGGGTGTCCTGCAACAGACGTTTGGGATACTTTCCGCTTTATTTCTTCACTTGGAGGTTCATGGGTAGTTATAAGTAGGGTTATAGGTCCCCTAATATGGGTTATAACTAATAGTAACCTTACTTCTAACCTATAACTACCCATGAACCTCCCTAAACCCTGAAACCTAAACCCTAAACCCTGAACCCCTAAACCCTAAACCCCAAAACCCCAAAACCCCAAACCCTAAACCCAAAACCCCCAAACCCCAAAAAAACCCAACACCCCAAACCCCTTATAACCACCCATGAACCTCCAAGCAGTCCTGTCCAGTGGGGGAAGCTACGGCTTTCTTTCGGAGTCCACGCCAAGAGGATCCGGGCCGGCTCCCAAAAAATACCATACTATAGGGGCCTTAGGGCTTAGGGCTTTAGGGTTAGGGATTTGGGCTTAGGGCTTAGGGCTTTAGGGTTTAGGGTTTAGAGTTTTTAGGGTTTAGGGTTTAGGGATTTGGGCTTAGGGCTTTAGGGTTTAGGGTTTAGAGTTTTTAGGGTTTAGGGTTTAGGGGTTTAGGGTTTTAGGGCTTAGGGTTTAGGGTTTTAGAGCTTAGGGTTTTTAGGGTGTTAGGGTTTAGGGATTTGGGGTTTAGGGTTTTAGGGTTTCAGGGTTTAGGGCTTTAGGGCTGTAGGGTTTAGGGCTTAGGGTTTGGGCTTTAGGGTTTAGGGTTTAGGGCTATTTAGGGTTTAGGGATTTGGGGTTTAGGGGCCTTAGGGTTTAGGGATTCGGGGTTTAATTAGGGTTTTAGGGCTTAGGGTTTAGGGTGTGGGGTTTTAGGGTTTAGGGTTTTAGGGCTTGGGGGTTTAGGGTTTTAGGGTTTATGGTTTAGGGCTTAGGGTTTTAGGGTTTTAGGGTTTCGGGCTGAGGGCTTAGGGTTTAGGGTCGAGGGTTTTAGGGTTTAGGGCTTAGGGTTTAGGGTTTAGGGTTGAGGGTTTAAGGGTTTAAGGGCTTAGGGTGTAGGGTTGAGGTTTTAGGGTCTATGGTTTAGGGCTTAGCGCTTAGGGTTTTAGGGTTTAGGGTTCAGGGGCCTACATGATTACCTGGCTCCCGGGGCCACAGGGTGGTCGGGTTCAGGGAGGGGCAGCTTGCACGATCCAACGTAACCGTGGCTTGCAAATCGCGAAGCTGGTCCAAAGGTACTGACAGCTGTGTGATGGATTGGCAAGATACACTATGCTGCTGCTGCTCAGCTGGTGTTGCTCGGCTCAGTGAAGTTTAGATGCCGGCCATGCTGTCGAAGCTGAAAGGAATCAATTCGCGCAGCTTGGCCAGTCTTGTCATGGATAGCTTGCTGCAACTCGCGCTTTAGGTCGTCCACACAACTGCTCGGAGCCAGAGTAAGAAAGGCAGTAAATGGCTGCCCTGCCGTACAAGTGTCCGATGGAACTTGCACTTCGACCGGAACTGATAGGCCAGGAGCAGGAAATCCTGCTTGGCTGGCAGTAAACTTTAGGGGCTTTTGGGGTTTAGGGTTTAGGGTCTACTGTAGGGGCCTAAATGAATTACCTATACTAGTTTGGTCATTATATTTAGAGTATAGTATACCCCAAAAACCCAATTCTGTTGATTAAGGCCCCTACATTGCATGATGTTCTTCACCGGACATTGATCTCTCCGAGGGGTTCGCACCGCGACAGCAGTATTAGGGTTTAGGGTCTAGGGTTTAAGCGTTTAGGGCAGCAGTATTAGGGTTTAGGGTTTAAGGTTCAAGCGTCTAGGGCAGCAGTATTAGGGTTGAGGGGATAAGGTTCAAGCATTTAGGGCAGCAGTATTAGGGTTTAGGGTTTAAGGTTCAAGCGCTTAGGGCAGCAGTAGTAGGGTTTAGGGTTTAAGGTTCAAGCGTTTAGGGTTTAGCCGGACTTAAAGTAGGTTTCGCGAGGTTTGCGTGACCTCGCCTTAGTGGGTGCATATGAACAGGCTTCTGTTCGCACTCCGGTATCTCGCAACACCAACCGGCATCCACACGTGTTTTGTCAGGTCATACTTAGTATATGCAGGGTTTTCGAATGAGAGGGTTTGGTTGAGGGTTTAGGGTTTAGGGGGCTTTCGGTTTCGGGCTTTAGGCTTCTGCCTTTTGGGGCGTGAGAGGGTTTAGGGCCGGAAGGAGTTTGTGGCTCATAGAAAGCCTGTCGGGTCGGACACGGGTCCAAGCACGTGATTGCCATATACTCTCCAAAGAAATAACCTACATAACGACGATCCTAAACTCTTAGACCGAATCATTTCAGGGCTTCTTACGGCTGAGGAGGATCAGCGTTCGAATCCTAGGCTCGGAACTCTGCATCCTAAACCTTTGAGCGACGGTATATAGTTCAGGTTGTGCAGGTTCGAACCCTAAAACCCTACAGCGGCCTCAAATTTAGGGTCTGCGGCTTAGGGAATCCGACATGGATGTTGGGAGTCTACCCACCCATGAAGCCCGAAAGCCCTGCGCGCTACACCCTAAACCGATGTAGCTTCTGGGGTTTCTACAGCTCAGGGGCTTCTAAGCCCGAACTTAAAAACCCTAAGCCCAAAGCCCCCAAACCCTAAACTCTAACAGCCGAAGCCCAAAGCCCCTAAACCCTAAACCCAAACCCCCTAAGCCCAGAGCCCGTAAAGCCCTAAAAGATCTCCTCCGGGATCCGGGCGGGTGGGCCGAGAAAGCGTAAAACTTGTCTCGAGGCGTCTGCGCATAGGTCGTGGCATCCTGCTCTCACCATGTGTTTAGTGCTTAGGGGTTTAATCTCAGAGTTTGGGGTTTAGGGGGCGTTTGAAAGCCTTTCGTTTAGGATTTAGGGTGTCGGGCTAAGGGGAATCATGGTCTCGAATTGATTTCAGGGCTCAGGGTCTAGGGCCTCGGGGGCATCCTGTTTCTATGCGACTTAAGGGCTTCGGGATCAGGGTTTAGGGTTTAGGGTTTTAGGATTTAGGGTTTAGGGTTTAAGGTTTAGGGTTTAGGGTTTAGGGTTGGACTATCGCATGTTGAAGGTGCGCATACGGGTGCTTTGGATGCTTACGCAGTAACCCTCAACATGTTGCAAGACGGAAACAAGATAACTAACGTAACTAGTGCCGGTAGCCGCATTTTGCCACTGCAGCATGAGGACACTGGGTGTGGGTTGTTGTATATGGTTGGTGCAAGCTGTTCCTGGTCTGGCTTTAGATGGTCCGGTTTAGTATGGGAACCTTCAGCACGAGAACAGGATTCTGGGGATAGTAACATTGTATTATATTCAATTGCAGGGGACTACAAAGGGGTAGTCTTCTGAGTGCTCACCATCCGTAACACTCATTGGGGGATGCTATCTTGAAGATGTCAGGTATGGAAATCATTGGCCTCGCTCCCCCCAAACCCTAAACCCGAAACTCTGAACCCTACAACCCCGTCTGCTTTAGGCATGTTCCTCGAATTTGAATAACCCTAGAGGTCAGTGGGACACATGAATGACGACGTGACGACGGCAGTCGTCATAAACTCAACCTTAAACCTGAAGCCCTAAACCCGAATCGTCATGATCACGAGTCTTGTCACGGGCGTCTTCCGCTGGGTTGTCACTATCACGAGCCGAACCCCTACACGTTTCAACAACTAAAGCAGCTGAATACTTCATCTAGAACCAGGAGCCAGGGAGTTGGAACATCATCGACCATATACGCCCTAGAGAAATCAACGCTAGCCATCCGGAACCCGTGTTGTAGCTTGTTGGAGCTTATTGCATTCCAAGTCTCCTTGAACAAGCAAAAATGGAGGGACTCATATCATGATTTACAGTATACTCCTCAACCAAGAGGGTTCGCAGTCTCTCTATGGCCTAGGAAAAGCACCATGTCAACGCTGCCTGAATCAGATACCGTTTCACCCGGTCGAAGTCGTCGCTCCTGGCATTGTAAGAGCGAAAAGCTCATAGGGACTTCACATTGCAGGAAAGGTTTCAGCAGTAGCAGCAGAAGCCGTAGCAGTAGCAGTGGCAGGAATGGTAATAATAATAGTAGTAGTAGTAGTAGTAGTAGCAGTAGCAGTGGTAAGACTAGGAATAGTAGGTAACAGAAGCAGTCGCAGTCGGAGGAGGAGTGGTAGTCGTCGTCGTGATGGTGGTGGTGTTCGTAATAGGAGCAGCAGCAACAGCACCAGCAGCAGCAGCGGCAGCAGCAAGTCAGTAGCAATAGCAGCAGGAGCAGTCATTGGAATACAGAAGAGGTCTTGTTCCTAAACCCTAAACCCTAAACCGGGGGCTCAGCTGCCGGCGAGTCGCCCCATCTCGTCGTGGTTCCAATTCTCAATCAGGTACTGCTCCTGAGTTCGCTTCGGCACCCACCCAGACCCCCGGGAGCATCCAAAAGGTAGATCCCTTAATGGGGGTTCCTATAAAGTACCCTTTATTAGTATAGGGTCCCAATTAGTGGATCTACTTTGTAGATATTTTCGGGGGTCTGGGCAATGGGTTCAGGCGTGGAGATTGGCCACGAAGCATAGAGCTGCAGCAACACCGCGGAGCAACGTTGGAATGAGTAGGACTGTTGGACGAGTGTGTATACGTATCTGCAACTTCATGGCTACAGATGAAAGCTCGAAACATGACCCCAATCACCACATGGGGGTTTCTGAAAATAGGGGACCCTAATATAGTACCCTAAATAGTAGGATCCCTATTATAAGGACCCCAAAATAAGGTACCCCTTGTTTTCGGAAACTCCCACATCGAACACATCGACAGCTTCCTAGCACTAGACCCTCCAACTACCCTCCGGGGTCCGCGACCTGTCAGACCTGTTGGGCAATTCTAGTGTGCAGGATTTTGCCAGTATGACGCGTTGAGAACGGAGGTACGACCAAATATTACTGTGACCTCTGCTGCTTACTTGGCGGTTCAAGGGTAGGTATAAGTGGGGTTACAAGTAGGGCAACTATAGTTGTAACCCATGTTGGGGGACTTATAACCATACTTATAACTACCCATGAACCTCCAAGTAAGCTGTATCAGTATTGGCATCAACATACCACCATCGTCACCACCAGGTAGAGCAACGCCTCCCCGGCTGCTGATGCTAACGATGGTTCTACTGCGCATGCCTCTGCGGCTGCAGTGGCTCCTACACCATAAAGCCTAAACCCTAAACCATATGAATGCAACGTAGTTATACTTGGACTGGTTAGACAAACCCACATCCCATCTTCAGATCCCTAAACATTAAAGCTTCCTTCTTGAGGGTCTGACAAAACAAAGGTTGAAACAACTATTGAGCACAAACGAGAACACTGGACCATCCTGAGACTTGTATCCTTCAAACAACAACCATGTAGAACTTACCTTAAACCCTAAACCCTAACTTCTACACCCTAACCCCTAAACCGTAACCCCTAAACCCAAACCCGAGAACCCTAAACCCCTAAACCCCAAACCTCAAACCCTAAACCCTAACCCCTAAACCCGAACCCTTTAACCCCTACACCCTAAAGCTACGAAGCTTCCAGGCCAGGCCACAGAGGGAAGAATGCCCTCAGTTTGCGATTCAGGGACGAAGATGACCAGGCGCCTCTCACGTATCGAAAGCCCCAAAAGGTTGAGGGTTGAGGGGTTTAGGGTTTGGGGTTTAGGGGGTTCAGGGGGTTCAGGGGGTTGGGGGTTTAGTGTTTAGGGTTTAGGGGGTTTAGGGTTTAGGTGTTTAGGGGTTTACGGGTTTGGGGTTTAGTGTTTAGGTGACCTAGAGCACTTGAACGTTCACTGAGACACTACACCCCGAGACCTCGCACATTGCCCCCTGCCCATTGCGATGCCAAGACCCGCAAACCAGCACTCTTTGCTGTGTAAACCCTAAACCCAAAACCCCTTATGAGGTACCCTACACCTCAAATCCCTTATAACGTACCCTAGATCCTAGACCCTAAGTGACCACTCATTGGGCTCGAGGTGTCAAGCCTCTACTCAAGCAAGGTCTTGGCTACTGGACCGAAGCAGCTCGGGTTGGCTGCATCTTGCAGCATGTTACACACACGGTTTAGGGTTTGGGGCTTGGGGTATATTACCATGTACAATCATAACGTGTTTCGGGTTTAGGGAACGGTTTAGAAATCTAGAAAGGCATTTAGAGGGAACAACCTCCACGGCTCCGTTCCTTACTAAAGCCTACAGGCCCTCTAGTAGCTCTAGTACAAAACACAACTCCCCCTCTCTCACCCATTTTCATGCTACACGAAAAGTTAGGGTGCGAAAGCTGAGCTCCGAACCCCAAAGACTAAACCCTAAACCCTAAACCCTAAACCCTAAACCCTAAACCTAAAGAAAGCCTAGCTCCCCAGAGCCTCCCTGAGAACCACCTCGAACTAGCCATGGCTGCGGATTTTTTCCGTTAAGGGAAGCAGTGTACCAAAAGCAAGAATACTCTCGCAACAGGCTTCCGAACCTTCTCTTACATTGAAATCTAAACTCTAAACACTAAACCCTGACAACCCTAAACCCTAAACCCTAAAACCCTATACCCTAAACCCTAAACCCTAAAACCCTAAACCCTAAAACCCTAAAACCTAGAACCCTAAACACTGAACCCACAGACTGGAAGACAGATGTCAAGAGTCGGATGCCGGAGATTCGACCCGGAACCCTCTGCCCTGAGCCCGTGAATGCGACATCGCATGGTAAGCGGTTTAGGGTTGAGGGTTTAGGGTTTAGGGTCATCTTGACCCTACTGTTGATGATATCAATCCTGCATTACCTTAAGGACCCTCGGCTATGGGAATTCTGGTAAATTCCCTATTATACGGGTAATGCAGGATTTGTATCGTCAACCGTAGCACCACGGATATAGGGGCATTCAGCATGAGAAGAGCGGCTTAAGGCTTGCCTTCACTCCATGTCAACAGGAACTGTAAGCGGACACCCTTACGAATTCTGCATGCCACTGTAATAGTACCCATGGGCCCCATAGTAGTTCCTTTTTGGAGTCCATATCTAGAATCCTATAAGGTAACCCCAAAACGGAACTACTTTGGGGCCTATGGGTACATTAAACCCTGAACCCAAAAACCCGAAGGAGTGCCTTTTTGGGATTCCTTAATAGGACTCTAAATATGAACTACTATGGGGCCTATGGGTATTACGTACCATTATCTAAAAAGATTTGGCTCCGGGTCTCAGCCTCCATCCTTCCTTGAGCCGACGCCGCTATCTAGGGCTTTACATGGGTTTGCATTAGGTTAGTTTAGGGTGTATATGGGTTTAGGGTTTAGGGTTTAGGGATATGGGTTTACATTGGGTTTATATTGGGTTGTTCAAGGTTTTGGGGCTAAAACTGAACGCCGAATCTTAAGCCCGAAACCCTACTGTTCCTCTGCCTGTTCTCCTCTGCCAGGTCCCCCAGAGAGTTGGACCAATCCTGCCAGGTATCTTGTGATCTGTTAAAGGAATCTATGTATCATTGGAGTTTGTTGCTGCTTTGACGAGGGCGAAGTCGCGCATCATCTTGTAGGGACTGTAAGGGGATACTAGAACCCTAAGCCCTAAACCCTACACCCTACATCCTAAACCCAACTCAATATCCAGGCCTAAACCCTAAACCCCTAAACCCTAAACCCTAAACCCTAAACCCTAAACCCTAAACCCTAAACCCTAAACCCTAAACCATGCTTGTCGTGATCTTGGGGTGCAGGGATTCGGAGTGTCGGGGTGCAGGCCTCGGGGTCTGCTGGTAAATAGGAAACAACACCATAACTTAGCTGCCCAGTACCCTGGCCCAAGAAAGTTTAAACTTTTCTTTTAGTAGGGGTTTAATATATCAAAAAAGTTTAAAGTTTACCTATTGGGCTCCTAAGATAGGGGTTTCAGAGAAAACAATCGGAGCTGGGTTTAGGGTTTGGGTTTGGGGTCTAAACCCGAAGCCCTAAACCCAAAACCCTTAACCCTAAACCCCCGGATGCCTACTTAAACCCTACCAAAAACCTACCTTTTTAAGGACTTATATATATAGAAACCATAATAAGGAACCCTAAACCCCCGGACGCCTACTTAAACCCTAGCGTCCAACCCACGGCCCTCTCTCTGACCACCGGCGCGAAGTTACCAAGTCGCCCAGTTCAACAACGCTGCCGGGGGACGGTTTAGGGTTTAGGGTTTAGGGTTAGGGTTTAGGGTTTAGGGTTTAGGGTTTAGGGTTTAGGGTTTAGGGTTTAGGTCTTTCTTAGGTCTCTGGCCGTGTCACCCCTCACGTTGCCGATCTAAGCCCTTCTGGCTCGCCCGGTTTGGCAGAATGACGGTTCCCATCGTCGCTGATTATGGGTTTACAAACCCACACTACGTCCATTACATGAAGCTCCGAACCCTAAAGCTCATGAACGATGAGGCGACTAATTGGACCAGGGGTATTTGCGGACGTCATGCGCACCCCTGCCTGTCCAGCAACCTTGGGTCTTCAAGCTGAACCTTCGGTTTTAGATAGTGTAGGGGCCTTGATATTTAGAAGAGGGTTTTGGGGTATACTCTACTATGATTATAATAAGGAACCACCAACATACTGTTGGTAATTATTTAGGCTTCTATATTAGGGTGACAGTTGAATATTTACCTGGGTCCACAGGCTATGACGCCTGAAACACCACTTCCATCGCCTGCCGGCAGGATTCTTCTTCCGACATATCCCTAAACCCTAAACCCTAAACCCGACATTGCTTCACGATATTGAAAGCTGTGCGTTGCAGGTCAGTTAAGCATCTACCAGAGGGCCCAACACGGCATCATGAACAGGGTTTAGGGTTTAGGGTTTAGGGACATCATGCCTCCAACTGCCTTGGGCCTTCACATGAGTTCGAATATACCCGTCGCCCCAAGCCCTGCAAACTGGCAACCTATGACCACAAAGTTACAGGTAGTCCGACAACTGTCGGCTATTGGATCCACGATATCCCCTAAAGCCTACAAAAACCCTCTAAACAAACCCTGTAGAAGACTACATCTATATATATATATACACACATGCACACAAGTAAAGCCCTTCACCAACTGGAAACCCTCCCTAAACCCTAAACCCTAAACCCTAAACCCTAAACCCTAAACCCTAAACCCTAAACCCTAAACCCTAAACCCTCAACCCTTTAGGGTTTCGGGTTCAGGGATGTAGCGGCCTGGGTCCTGACCAACGACACATTCGTGGAGTTGAGATGTCTTGCGACGGATGCCGCAAGCCTGAACGGACGCTTTCTGACGGTTGAGGGTTTAGGGTTTAGGTTTGAGGGTTTTTCCGGGGTCAGGGGGTTTGGGTTGATGTTGAACATCTGCTTCGGGGCCAAGGTGTCTTCCGGGATTGATAGGATTCGAACCGAAAGCCACTGAAACCGTGACATGAAACCCCCAACTCTACCTTGAAGCCCAGTACCCTGGCCCGACAAAGTTTAAACTTTTCTTTTAGTAGGGGGTTTAATATACCAAAAAGTTTAAAGTTTACCTACCGGGCTCCTAAGTCTATAGCCTTAAACACTGAGCTG